GAGGAGGAGGAGGAGGAGAAATAATATGCATGCTGGAAAAGTAGTCTAAGCTTTTCTGAGATGTATCTCCTTGTCTCTGCTGAGAGTTGGCTACACAGTGTCATCATTTTATATATATAAAAAGTTGCCAATCAGAGAAGCTAAACAAAAGGCCAGGTCATGGCCACAGTTGGTGTGAGGAGGTGTGAATTTCCTTCAAGACCAGGGTAGGTTACTTCAGAGCCTCGCCTCCAGCTCCTGCCAGATAATTCAGTTTGGCAAAGTTACTTCTTGGTCAGAAGGAGGAAGAGACAGGGGAACAGGCAGCCTCTATCAATTCTTGTCACAGAGTGCTCTGAAAGTGGCCCTCTGGCGTTCTCTAGGTGGAGTTTGTCAAGGACAATGCTGGTAGGACCACCAAGAAATCTGAGAATTTGGTAATTTAAACTGAGACCTCTTCCTTAAAGATCACTATGGATACTGGGTGGGGTGGTTTACTGGGTGGATTACTCTTGTAATCCCAGTGACTCCAGAGGCTAAGGCAGGAAGCTTTCAAGTTCAAAGCCAGCTTCATCAATTTAGAGAGGCACTAAGCAATTTAGCAAGACCCTGTCTCAAAAATAAAAAGGGGTCTGGGTTGTGGCTCAGAGGTAGAGCACTCACCTTGCATGTGCGAGACCTGGGTTCGATCCTCAGCACCACATAAAAATAAATAAGTGAAATAAAGGTATTGGGTCCAACTACAACTAAAAAATAAATTAAAAAAATAAAATTAAATAAAAAGGGCTGGGGATGTCATTAAGTGATTAAGCACTCCTAAAAGCTTCCCTCCCAATCCATGGTACCAAAAATAAATTAATTAATTAATTTAAAAGATCAGTAGAAAGGGCTGGATGGAAGGGATAATGGAAAAGTGCTGTCCCTCCCACTTTGTAAGTAATAAAAGCAATATCCATCTGTTTTCACCCCACAGGGAGTGACTTCAGGTTTAGGTACAGAACTCAGTTAATTGAGATTCACCATAAGGCCACTAGGGGCGCATTAGTTGGTTGTGGGGAAAAGAAACAAATCTCAAGAGCAGCTACTGTGGGCCAAAAAGAAAAGGGAAGAAGGTTGTGGAAGGAAGGAAGGAAAAAAGGGGGGCGGGGGAGGGCGAGAAAGAGGAGGAAATAGGCTCCTTTCACTCTGTCCTTTCCTACCTACCCTCCTTTAAAACTGCTGTACACCTATTCTTCCTCCTGAAATTGCCAGCCCTATCTTTTCCGGTTTAGCTGAGGATTTCTTTGCCTATTTCCAGACATAGAATGCATAGAGAAAATAGGCAAGTGTCACCTCATTCTCCCATGGTCAACTCCACCCAAGTCCCATTCTTGGCGTCCTACACCCACATGAAGCTTCCCTCCCAGGACAAAAGGAAACCTGACACATGCATGGTGATGTCACGGTAATCCCAGTGACTCAAGAGGCTGAGGCAGAAGGATCTAGAGCTGGAGGCCAGCCTGGGCAATTTATTGAAATCCTGTCTCAAAATTAAAAAAGAAATTAAGGGGCTGGGGTTGTAGCTCAGTGGTAGAGTGCTTGCCCTCACATGTGACACAGTGGGTTCAATTCTCAGCACCACATAAAAAAACAAATAAAGTCTAAAAACTTTTTAATTATTTAAAAAAATTTTTTTTAAATTTTAAAAAGGAGACCTGACTGTGGTCCTGGCCAGGACTTTGCAGGGAATGAGGAAGAAAGAATAGATTAAGGCTGTCAATTCCCAGATGCTCACAGAGTTTAAGCTGGGGTCCCAGACCTGCTGGTCATGAAAACATGTTCTTGCCACAAAACCAGCAGCACACTAGATTCCTCTGGGGATCTTGCCACTACTAGGTTTAAGTCATGCATATATCATCATCAAGTTACAGTCCTGCTTTTAGTAAAGGAGCTCAGGCTGACCCCAGGCCTGTCAGAATTAGCTCTAATAGCACAAGCCACCCTAGATCCATGGTTAAAATCTTGACAAGAAAATAACCACTCAATTTAAGAGCAACTATTAGCCTCCTGGCCTTGTATAATCAGGCATCAACATGAACCTATATACTCCAGACATTTTCAATAGCAAGGGAGGGGTCTCAGCTGAATCATCCAGTACTTCCACACAACTTTCTCGTATTTTGGGCTTTTTACAAATCTTCTGCCTCTTTGATCTATGATTAAGAGCTGTCATCAATCTATAATTAATTAAATCTAAAATCTTATTTAAGCCAGTCTTCTAGACTTCTAGAAGGTGGGGACAGTGGGCAGTACAGTGGCTGGTACCAAAGGTTTGACAAATGGAACAATGGATGAAAGTGGGAGATGTGATGACGATGATGTCCTGGATCACCTTTTACTAGTTAAGCAGGAACAGCCCGGAGGTAAGAGCCTGGAAGGGAAAGGACAAGGTGGCAGAGGGAAACTGGGCATAGTTGAGACAAAGCAACTTGTCCTCTGAATTAAAAGCAAAAAAACCGGGTTCAGTGGAAGTATAAAACAAAGTAGGTCCTTTGAAGGCTGGAAGGAGGAGGTGGGGGCAGAAGCAAGTGCTTGTACAGGTGACTAGCAGTTGTTCTAGAAAGTTCCAGTCAGCTGTCCACTATGGTTCTACATTATTATAAAGTGGGAACTATTTGTAAATCGGGCAAAGTGACTTGCATCTTCCAAGGGATGGTCTCTGTTCTAAATGCTCTATTTACTTACTTTGAGATTAGACTTTTCTTAATCGAACTCAGATACTTAGCAAAGGAATGGCTTGATTGTTACCAGAAATGTAGGGGGTAGGGGGTGCTACCTTTCTGGGACCCATCTTTTTTTTTATTGCTACTGATGATTGAACCCAGGGCCACTTTACATCGGAGCCTTATTCCCAGACTTTTTAATTTTTTTTTTAAATTTTGAGATAGGATCTTGCTAACTTTTTAGGGCCTTGCTAAATTGCTGAGGCTGTCTTCAAACTTGCCATCCTCCTGCCTCAGACTCCAGAGCTGCTGGAATTATAGGTGTGCACCACTGTGCCCAGCCCCAATCCTTTATATATTTTATTTTGCAACAGGGTCTTGCTATGAGGCCCAGGCTGGTCTCAAACTTGGAATCCTCTTGCCTCAGCCACCCCAGTGGCTTGGATTACAGCCCTGTACCACCATGCGTGACTAGGATCCATGACTATTGCAGAACCGACTCTTCAAGTCAAATGCTCTTTGTGCTGTTGTTCTGCCTGCTGAATTTCTCTAACTACTCATCTGTGCCTGTTGAGGCTGCCTCTGACCAGTACCCTCAGCACCACCTGGTTCCTGTGTTCATGCTGTTGGAGGGGCAGGTTTTCTGTGGAACACACCAACAGCCTCAGGCCAAGGCATCTAGGCATGGAGTTACCTTGCTTCTCCCAGGCTGGAGTTCCCTACTTTGGCAGCCAGTTTGAGAGGGCTACTGCCTTTTCCCTATGTAATACTGTGTGTCCTCTTAGGGCTTCAAGTCTTGTCCTGGGACACGGTCATTCTTCCCAGACCCTCCACTGGTAACCGCTAGGAATCAAAGAGTATTGTGATATAAGAATTTGCATTCGTATTATTAATAATATTAATAGAATATTTATAGATTAAAGGAAAAATGATGATGCAAGATCAAACAATCAGGTTCTTTTCCTCTGTTTCACCAATTACAATAGTTGCTGCTTCCTTTCTCTATTGAATAAATTGAAGTGGGAATGTTAGTGGAAATAAAAAATGGCCATGTCCCTAATTTACTCTTTTTCTTCTTTTCTGTTTGTGGTACTAGGGATTGAACCCACAGGTGCTCAACTGCTGAAGTATATTCTCAGCCCTTTTTTTATTTTTATTTTTTTTTTAATTTTGAACCAGGTTCTCCCTAAGTTGCTGAGGGTCTCACTAAGTTGACCAAGCTGGCCTTGAACTTGTGATTCTCCTGCCTCAGCCTCTTAAATTGCTGCGATTACAGGCATGTGCCACTGTGCCTGGCCTGGATATTCTTATATCTCACTTTTAAAAAGGAAAATTATATAGTTTCTTAGAAGTATAAACCAAATTATCTAGGCACGGTGATTCACACCTATGATCCCTGCAACTCAGGAGGCTGAGGCAAGAGGATCTCACAATCAAGGCCAGCCTCATCAATTTAGCAAGATGCTTTCTCAAAATAAAAAATAAAAAAAGTCTGAGGCAGGGAGGAAGGGGTTAGTGCTGGGGAGTGAAATTATCCAAGTTATAGCTATGTTGTGTACATGTATGAATATGTAACAATGCCCAAGATTATGTACAATTATAATGCACCAACAAAAGATTTCAGGGGGGGGGGAAGAATACACAGAAAACAAAAAGAGTGGGAGGCAGGCCTGGGAATGTAGCTCAGTGGTAAAGCACACAGATACAGTGGCACATGCCTGTAATGCCGGCAACCAGGGAGGATTGCAAGTTCAAGGCCAGCTTCAGCAATTTAGCAAGGCTCTAAAGCAACTTAGTGAGACTCTGTCTCAAAATAAAAAATAAAAATAAAAAGGGGTGGGGATGTGGCTCAGTGGTTAAATGCCTCTGGGTTGAATCCCCAGTTCCAAAGAGAGAAAAAAAAGAGGTGATTTTTTTCCCTACTCTTAGACTTTGCAAGGGTCTTGTACCTAACATTGACCAACAGAATGTGGCAGAAGTCCCGTTGCACATATTCCAACAGTAGGTCTGCTAGAATGCTAATGCCTTGTGAACAAGTCCAGATAGCCTCTTGGGTGGTGAGACACCTGGGAGAAAGCCTGAATGTGACGAAGATAAAAAATGGTCATACTCCTTTCTCTGGTATAAGGAGGTTGACTCATAGGTAGGGGTAGGGAGGGGAAGCATGGGAGGAATAGATGAATTCTAGATAGGGAAGAGGGGTGGGAGGGAAAGGGAGTGGGCAGGGGATTAGGAAGGATGGTGGAATGTGATGGACATCATTATCCAAAGTACATGTATGAAGACACAAATTGCGTGTCAACATACTTTATATACAGAGATATGAAAAATTGTGGTATATATATGTGTAATAAGAATTGTAATGCATTCTGATGTCATTTTTAACTAATTAAAAAAATAAAATTATTATTTAAGATTGTAAAAAAAATGGTCATACCCCTAATTTACTCTTTTTCTTCTTTTGTGTGGATACCATCCATCCTTATGGATACCATGAGGAGTAGAGAGTAGCTTGCCAACAGGTTCCTGTCCAAACTGCCAACCCACAAAATCAGAAGCAAATAAATGATAGTTGTTCTAAGGAGCTGACTCATTACACTAACCATTTAGTCTCAATAACCTAATAAACTTCCTTCTTGCAAGTCATAGTTTCAGTGTTTCTGGAATAAATCTGATCAAGGTTAATACATCTTTCTTTATTCTGTGAGTCACAAAAAGATTTCTTATTTCAATAATACTTGCACTCCAATATGCTCAGAGACAATAAGATGCCCCGTGGGTAGATTTGTGAGATTTTTTTTAATAATCCCACCTGGTAGCCACGTGATTATGAGACAGGCACGTATTATTAATCAAGTAAATAACCTAAGAACACTTAAAAATAAGACTTAAAAAAGTGTGTTAAGATTTTGCTTACAAAAGTACAAAGTATCATGCTAATTGACCTTCATGAGCTGTGTCATCCACAGCCTGGAGATTAATTCCACTTCAAGATTCAACCAAAGCCGATTAACCAACAAGTGACAACATATTAAAGCAGAAAAACTCAGTACTGATAAACCCAACCTGATCTTTTCTTAAAATTGGGAGTCATACCACCACAAAGCCATGAAAAGATAATTTCGGCTTTACTATAAATTACTGCAAATTCTGAACCTGCTTAGAATGCCTGCCCGTGCCTTGAACTCACCCACGCCTGGCTCTTCGACCAGATAGCAGCCCTCTCTGAAACTTTAGTGACACCTCACAAATCTTGGCCTTCCCTGGCCAGAGAACGACCCTCTCTGAGGCTCTAATGACCTTCATAAATTCTGATGTTGGGCCAGCAAAAATGTAAACTACCATTAGTGTTATGCTCGTCAGAGTTTTGTTATCTGTAACCCCCCTTTGTGTAACTTTCTGGGCTATAAAACTGGGTTGCAGGAAAGCTGGGGCTGCTGTCTTGTTCCCATGGTTTTGGGTGGGAGAGGCAGCCCGGCAGATCAAAATAATAAGCTTGCTTTAATTTGATTTTAATTGGAGTCAATGGTCTTTTCTTTCGTCCTGGTCTAACAAGTAGCAGCGGGCTTAAATGGATGCCATGCCATGCCAGGGGTCAATGTCCTGTTCCTTGGATTGCTGGTTACCCAACCATATCAGCTAACTGTAATCAGGTCAGGATTTGACCATGGCTGAACTGAATCTGGACTTGTAAGCTTTGAAACCCAGTCACTGCTATCTGATTTTCCTCTGTACCTCATTTCATAGAGGAAACAATCACGGGAGGAAGGCCCCATTCTTCATTTCTTTCCTTCTCTAACTGAGTTCTTGTTCATACAAAAGAAGTCCAGCTTTCAACTTTCAGCTATGTTGAATTTGCTGACTCATGATGAATAGAAAACTATGAGTCCACCAGGCTTAGAAGCAACCACAATGACTTACAATTGGCAAACAGAGAAGCAAACTGTAGTATTGTTACAGGTGGGAAGGCCTGAGGGGTGGGACACAGGTGGGCCAAAGAAGTAGTCTGAGCAGGAAGGACTTCAGACACTTCTTTGGGATGGGCTATCTTCAAATCTGCTGGGGCTGTTCATTAACATTCCTTTGGGATGGACTTTGGGCCCAGGGCTTTTCTTGGGACTTCATTAACATTCCATGAGTTGTCCTGCATTTCTTGGAATTCGTTCTCAGCATGGCCTCCATTTTAGATTTCACTGATATTAGACCCGATTTACCTAACTACACTGACTACCTAACTTTAAATCTGGCTTCATTCCCCCCTCTAATTTGGGAACTCCTTACTGCTGTAAGGAAGGGGGGTGAAGAAGATCTTTCTAGCTTCTTCAGGCTGAAAAGGAACTGTGTGGGGCAAGCAGTTTGGAGTCCCCCTTTAAAAATCGGGTCTATCGAGTGGTCCATGATAAAAGTCTGATTGAGAAGTAATAGGCTGGAGGGCCATTTGAGTGATGGGTGGTCTATAAGAGAAACAAGAATTCATTAGTACTGGAACCATATTGATGCAGCAATAAATCCCATAGCACAGGAATATGCCAATGAGTATGATGGCAAAGACAAAGACTAACAATGTTTTCCACCAGGAAGTACTAAGAACAAGGAGCTAAGATATTGTTTCCATGACAAAGTTGCTGAGGACATGGCTTCTATCTGAGCATGTAAATCTTTAAAGATATTTGTCACATTGCCAGAAATGTCAGGGATGT